ACAAGTTGTGGGGTTGTTAACCAATGTCATAAAACAATACGTGTACTACTGTTTCATGAGAAACTATTTGTTCTGTAAGCCTTCACCTGAAGTACAGCAAAAAAAAAAAAAAATCAGCCTGTGAAAACCCTATGGAGCACAGCTCTACTCTGACACACACGGGGTAACCATGAGTCAGGGTTGACTGGACAGCAACTGGAATACCTGTATACCAGAAGGAAATAACCTAAAATCTAAAACATATCTTGGTTTCCTTAATCATAAGGGAAGTGTAAACCAGAGAGTCAACAAACTCTTAGAACAGGAAGGGAGAGGGTTGTGGAACTAAGTAGATGGAGCAAAAGAAATATTTGACCATTGACCAATGGCCTTCAAATCCAGTTTAGGGCCCCAAGCATACAAGTCAAGATGGTATTATTCAACAAAATCTGTGAGTTCCCCCATGACCCCCTGTGAGCAAACAGCCTGCCTTAGAGGATAGGATAAGAATGGACAACTCAACACCAATTTGCTCCCTACTCAAAGAACAAAAAGTCTAGTCGAGTACAAGAAAGTAAACCCAATCCCAGTGACTTAAGAGCACTTGAAAAATCAACATAGAATTTAACACAAGAAATTGTGTAAATGCTGAGGCAAAAGGAAGAGCGGGAGCACTCAAAATCTGGTAAAGTTCCCCAGAAGGTTTTTTCAGCCTGTATTAGAAATGGTCAGGGCTGTGCTGAGAAGAATATCTAGTCAAGTGTAGAGGTTAATTCCTACAGTTTCAGGTCCTGGCACCAAAGTCACCTGCTGTGGCCATCCGTCCAGGACAATGAAACCTCTAAGAAATAGCCCTCTTTACTACCCCCATTCCTGGTGAACCAGCCTACCCTGGCTACTCTCTCCTTTAAGAAGCTACATGAATTCTTCCCAAACACTAAAGGGCTGCTAAGGTAGAGATAAGACCTGTTGCTGTACAGTCGGTTCTGACTCATAGTGACCTTATAGGACAGAGTAGGACTGTCCCATAGGGTTTCCAAGAAGCAACCAGTGGATTTGAGCTGCCAATCTTTGGGTTAGCAGCTGAGCTGTTAGTCTCCTGTGAACACCCATAGGTGGACCAATGGTCAGTGGGCATAGATTAGAGTTCTATGGAAAAGGAATAGCAAAGGAAAATGAGCCACTCTCTAAATGTGAGACTTGAGACCAGTGGGTCATGTCCTATGGAAGCTGGTCTTGGTCTAGCGTCCCTTGGAGCCAACTTAGAAACACCCTGACTTCTCAGGAGGAGGCATTTTGGAAAGCTTGGACCTGGTTCTATTGTCTGGCTGACTGTTCTTCTCTCCCTAACTCTAAATACTGGGCTTCCTTGGGGCTGAACTTGGGCCCTCTTCTCTTCTCTTTCTCTAGGACATCTCATCAGTTCCCATGGCTTTAAAAACTATCCTAACCATCCTTATTGCTGATGTTGTCCAAATGTGACCCTCCAACCCTGACAGGCCGCCCTTCTGAATCCACACTCACATCTCCAACTACAGTCTTGACATTTCCATTTGGCTATCTCCTGAACAGCTCAAGCTTGTCTAAAACGGAGCTCCTGAGGTTCCTCCTCAGGCCCATCCCACCGTCCTTCTCGCACCTTCCTGGGAAATGGCACCACCAGCCACCCAGTTGCTCATACCCGGAAACTGGGACTCATGATTGCATCTTCTTTCTCCCTTACCCCCCACATTCAGTCCATTAACAAGTCCTGTCATTCTCTACCTCAGCCCCAGTTGGTTTTCTTAATACACTACCACAGCTTGAAATTATTTTATCATTTGCTTGTTTACTTGGTTTTTGTCAGGCTCCCTTACAAGAATGAGAACAGGGGCAACGTCTGATTTTTGCTCAATGCATCTCCAACATTCAGCCAGCCTGACAGAGAGCAAACACTTAACAACTATTGGTTGAATGAAGAAAGGAAATAATTTATTGGTGCTTTCATCCAGAGTGAAATAGCTGCCCCATAATCGGCGGGCTCTATCCCATAGGCTAACTTCTGAGCTAGGTCAGGAACTGAGTCTCCCTGCCTATCTCCCCTACTCTTTCTCCACAGAGGGATACCAACCAGAAAAATACCCTCCTGCCCAAAAATGAGGCAACAACTACTAAATCCCACCTGTTTCAAAGAGCCTTCATAGATGATCACAGTGAAATTGGCAGCTTTATTGCTCTGCCAAGTGTGGAAATGTGACTTCCTTACGGAATCTCTGATCCACAGTTGCTATTTGGTTTGTTTGTTTAACTGTCCTTCCCCATCTCAGGGATGTAAATAGCGCTTCCCTGGCCTGGCCTGATCTGGCCCTGCTAAGTGTTTCTATTCCACAGCCTATGTGTTCTTGGCTGCCCAGGTGGGGGGGCACGCCTAGGAGGGCAGCAGCTGCAGCCTCAGAGAAGTGTAGGGAAGGGAACGAGCTCTGGACCCAGAATAATATGTCTATTCCCAGCTCAGGCCCTCACATACTATCTAACCTTAAGCAAGTCATTCCACTTCTCTGAACCTCCATCTTCCTGGACTTCTTGAGCCTCAGTGCCTTCCAGCAGAGATCTTCTGGACAGCACTCCATGACCAGTTAACACCATCAGAGCTTCCTGGGGTCAGGGCATCAGGCACTTCGGTGGCTGATGCCTAGAAATGGAGACCCAGAGCTCACTCAGACAATGCTCAGGTGCAGGGTGTTTTCTGAGGGACATGAGTTGTTTATTGAAAAGACGACCTTTGTGGTAAGTATAGGTTAAAAAGAGCTAACAAGTTGCCTTGCAACAGGACTTCTCAGAACCTTTAATATGAGCTTCAAGGAGGGAAGATTTGATGGGTGTGGAACCCCTCCTTGATGGACTGGTGGCCCATGGGTCCGACTTAGAAATGGCTCTCAGAACATCCCTGTATCCCTAGGTTTTAGCAGCTCACAACTTTCCCAAGGGCACTTTGTTGGGGAAAAGTTTTCAGGATGTCAGCTTAAGAGGGGAGTGGCACTAAGGGAAAGATCCCTCTGTCCCCAAGCCCCTAAGAAACTCAAGGCCCTCTTAGGTTTTCCCAAATGAGGAAAGTGGGGAGGAGATGGATGCCTGCATGGTTCAGCCTTCACCCCTGAGAACCGAGAGGCCACTCAGCCTCCTGGAGCGTGTCCCCATCCCCAAGTCTCAAAGAATAAAGGGACAACCAGATCTTGCCCATTTAGATGTCACACAATGGACAGTAAGGACTAACTGCCTTGGTTTCAGAGGAATGGGACTCCATCACTCTGCAGACCACACAGATCCTGTGGAAGAGGTGAAAGGCAGGGAGACCAGGGAGAGGACAGAGAAGTCAGTACAGTGGGGAGAAAGATGGGGAGAGAAATACAGAGGCCTGCTGTGAAACACAATGCATTTTATTGGCGACAGAACAGGTGGCAGAGGGGACTCCATGTTATATATATCAGAACTCTGGTAACCATCCCACCCAGAGAGGGGACCTCAAGGGCAGCAGAAGCCAGCTGAGACCCCCCTGAACAATCACAGGCACAGGCAGGAGCCAGAAAGAGGAGAATCTGAAATTTCCTTGACTGAGCATGGCCAGGGTCTGAATGGAGGAGCAAGAAGCCTCCAGTCTTCTGGCCCCAAAGAGCTTCTCCGCTGGAGGCGTGGGGATGAAGGGCGCCGGGGGTGGGGGTGATGTCAGGAGGGGAGGCGCAGATCAGGAGGGGAGACGCGGAGTGGTTGCGATGCGAGGGGCGTTATTTATCTGGAGCAGCGCTGGGAAGACGATGAGAACTTGATACTGCCCCCGCGGTTGCTGCCCGAGCTGAAGCCTCCGCCACTGATCCCGCAGCGACCGCCGGAGCCGGAGCCAAAGCCGCTGCCGCCGCCAAAACCACCGCCGCCCCCGAATCCACTGCCACCTCCCCAGCCAAAGCCGCTGCCTGCGCCACCTCCCACGCCGAAGCCACCGCTGTAGCCACCTCCATAACCACCAGCTGAGGCTGAAGTCTTGTTGCTGCTGCTGACCACTGCTGTAGGAGGGAGAGGAGAGTACATCAGTCAGTGCCCATGTCACTGTATTATAATCAATTAATGACCCACTGTGCCAGGATAATTGGGAGAGGATCAAGGCAGGCTTTGTACCAATGATCAGTGTGAGCCATTCTAATGTCATAAATTTTCATTCCCATCAAGTTAAGCCATTATGAATTATCCAGTGGCTGCTTCTACATATGATCAACTCTCCACCACCCATTGGAGATTACTCAGCCCGAATGTCTCCTCCCATTAACAGGCTCCCTATTGGATATTCCCCATCTACAGTCTAGATCTATTAATATTGTCCTGAACCCAGAACAATTACAAAAGCCAATCTGCTGTCCCCCCTTGCCCCACTCCCAGAAAATCCCTCCTACTTCCTTAGAAATAATTGTTTTGATTAGTTGCTACTGCCCTGTATTGGCAGATATTTGAGGATGGACTGTCATTGTCATGGTTACTTTGGCTACTTACAGATGCTCACAGCACTCTGACACTCTCCAGACATCCTGTTTGAGAAAGCAAGAGAAAGATGGTGTTCCATCACAAAGTTCACGGATCAAGGTGATGAATAGTAACCAGAACTAAATTCAGAAGTCTGGCAGTTCAGTACCCTTTCTCCATCCTTCTATGTACAATAACACAGAGACCCTGTGAACACTGGCTGCAGATGCACTTTGACTACATATGAAGGGAATGGTCTGGTAAAGGCAAGTACTTCTCCTCAAGGCCTGTGGAAGGCGGGAGCCTCTCTATAGACTGCAGTTCTCCATCCCCATTTACTTGATCACTTATCTGGCCCACAGCATTTGACCTCGGGCCAGGGGCTACGTGAAGATGGGATTGGAGGCCCACCTGCACTCTTCGCCTTCCAGCAGTTTGCGATAGGTGGCAATCTCCACATCCAGGGCCAGCTTGACATTCATGAGCTCCTGGTAGTCACGCAGCAGCCGGGCCAGGTCATCCTTGGCCTGTTGTAAGGCAGCCTGCAGGTCTTGGAGCTTGGCATTGGCGTCCTTGAGGGCCAGCTCCCCACGCTGCTCAGCTTCCGCAATGGCTGCCTGGAGGTTAGCATTCTGGGGAGGGGGAAGTAGGGAAAGGGATGAGCCAGTGAGAGGGCCTCAGGGTCTCTGAGTTTTAGAATGGATTGTTCCATAGCAAGCATCTTAAAGTCAGGCAATGTCACCCATCCCCTAGCTCCTCCATTTTGTCTTCATCCATGGAGATATTTTCCCATGGATTAGCCAGCCATCTAGACTGGCTTGTTCCTTGAACACCCTGCAGGCAGATGTTCCCTGAGATGACTTCTAGGAGTCCATCCTAGGCTAGGATTCTTAAGATCCTAGCTGTCATCCCTCACCAGTCTTCCCAGGCACCAGCACCTGTCACCATCCCACCTGCATCTTGACATTCTCAATCTCTGCCCGAAGCCTCTGGATCATCCTGTTGAGCTCCATGATCTCACTCTTGGTGTTCCTCAGGTCATCACCATGTCTGCCAACTGTGGTCTGCAACTCTCCCAACTAGAGAACAGAAGGGCAGATGAGATGTTAATGCAACTTTACGATTTGTTTTTATTTTCCCAACATCATCCACTGATACTTGAGGACCTTGGTAAGCATGTGTTAAAATGACATTGAATTGTGTTTCAGCGTGGGCACCCCTAAGGCAGCAGGGAAGGGAATGCCTGGGTTGTTGTGGGGAAATTTTCCCACCCTGAAGTTTCTGAGCAAGCTTGATGCCATGATTTAGCCTAGCTAGAATCAATCTCATGTGGCCTGGCATTGGGCAGGGGAACCACCTCCCCACAGGGGGTAGGGCTTTTTGTAACTCAGCAGCTATTAGAGGGATGTGTGCAGAGTGTAGAACCAAGAGGGGTCCACCCGCTGACCACTGACGCCTCACCACCCAGCAGCACCACAGGCCACAGCCTCCCTGAGGTCCTCAGTGGATCCTTTGAGAGGTACCTCACACACACCTTCGTCTGGTATAGGGCCTCAGCCTCAGCCTTGCTCCTTTGAGCAATATCCTCATACTGGGCCTTGACCTCAGCGATGATGCTGTCTAGGTCCAGAAAGCGGTTGTTGTCCATGGACAGCACCACAGAAGTGTCACTGACATGGCTCTGCATCTGGGACAGTTCCTGCCAACAAAAGGGATCTGTTCACTCTCTGGTCCTCTGCAGCAAGCACAGTGAAGCCCCAAGAGACTCCTGATCAACAATCCCATTCACTGATTATTAGCTCTGAATGTACATCTGCCCCACCCTTGTCCCCAACCGCTCAGAGAACCGCAAGTATGTAGCCCGTCCTATGGGACACCCACCATAAGCCCTTATCTCTAGGCTCATACCAGATAGCCTTCTAGGACCCTAGGTACTAAAATGCCCCAGCCTCAGATCTGAAAGCATCTTACCCTCCACCCCTACCCCTGTTAGCTCCAGAAGTAGGAAACATCCTCACCGCATCATAAATGCTCTTCAGGAAATTGATCTCATCCAGCAGGGCATCCACCTTGGCCTGAAGCTCAACCTTGTTCATGTAAGCGGCATCCACATCCTGAGAGAAAGATAGAAGCATAAAGGCTTCATTCCACCAAGGACCAAACAACAAACTGCTACTGCAGCAAGAGTTGGGGAAGACCATCCAAGGCTGGTCTCCACATGAAGGAGCCATTCACATCTCACTGGCATGGTTTAAGTTCAACCCTACTCAAATCTAAGAACAAATGAATTGATTCTTTTACAAGTCTTTCCAGACTAAGAGGCACTTGGCTTGTGTTTATCCCTCCAACTGCCTGAATTTCGCAGCTCCGTGGCAGCGGAGTAAGAGGAGATTGCCAAACCCAGCTGAAAACCTATGACTACAAGCCCCAGGAACCTCACACACAACCCTTACCTTCTTCAGGGTTACAAATTCATTCTCAGCAGCTGTACGTTTATTGATTTCATCCTCATATCTATGAGAGTAAAAAAGAAATAGCAGAGTTTGGGTTTTTAGGTGGTCATAAATACCACTGTTCTTTGAAACCCTGAACATTTATCTCTTCCATCCTTCTGTAGATGAATATATTCCCTTTACTATCTCCCTATTAGGGTGACCAACCGTCCAGTTTCTCAGGCAAACAGCCCTTGTTTTAGCACTGACAGTCCTGTGTCACGGGAAATCCCTCAGTCCCAGGCAAACCAGGACAGTTGATCACCCTACCATAAGTTGTCCCAGAATCCTTCAAATCCTAGAACCAGAATTTCCCCCCAACCTCCCGCCAACCTGGCTTATGAGGAAGTACTTCTACAACTCTAAACTTACCCCCTCTTACTACAATTTTATTTATAAAGGACTAAGCTTGGAGAAGGAAGGTGAGGAGGAACTTAATGAACCAAGCTATCCTCTATGAAGAAAAGGAGAGGAAAATAGGCTAGGCAACACCACTGCCCAGCAGTCAGCAGGAAGGCAGTGAGAGCCAGGACTCTGAAACAGGGTGGCCCACGGCATCTTCTCACTCGTACCCAATCACTCACTTCCTCTTGAAGTCCTCCACCAGGTTCTGCATGCTCCTCAGCTCTGAGTCTAAGCGTCCTCTCTCCCCGAGGATGCTGTCCAGGTAGCTACGCAGAGAGTTGATGTGGCCCTCAAAAAGGGGCTCAAGTTTGTTTGTGCCCATAACGGAATTTGTGCCCTGCTGCTGGAGGAGGCTCCACTTGGTCTCCAAGACCTTGTTCTGTTGCTCCAGGAACCGCACCTGCAATGCATTGGGAGAAGCAACATCAGGCAATGCTTGTAGCAGAGGAGGGAAAACTTCTTAGCTAGCTGAGGTAGAACTGGGCTCTGTATTTCCTGGTCCCTCAGCACAAAAGCACATTCTAGAAAGAAGGTAGAGTTGGGCTACTGTAGCTAGAGAGATTATGGTCAGACGGTTGCATCGGTTAGGGTACTAAAGATACAGCATGATTTGGAAAGTTGCAAAAGGAGGAGAGATGGGTAAGGGGAACTGGAAGCAGCCCCTATCTGGAAGCAGGGGAATTATAAAGATGAACCCCTTGGAGTTCCTGTGGACTTCATGTCTCAATCCCAACGTCCAAAAGTTCAAAGCACTCTGCAAAAAGGTGCATAAACCTCAGTGGCATCATTTCTGTCTAAGGCTCCAGTGAAACTCCAGCTCTTGAAAGGATGTGAATCACTAGGAACTGATACTGATTGAAATACCATAATCAGCACAACACTCTCTTGAGCCTCAAGGGAGACAGCGTGTGACCTACCCTTTCCTGGGGAAGGTCACCAAACACTCATCTTTTCCTGAGGAGGTTGGTAAAGCGTGCAAAGTGAGTTGCCAACTTCTCTACAGCCCCTTGAGACTAAGGTTCCACTTAAGCCTCTTTAATCCCTTCTACAGGGCATCAACTTCCTTTTCCTGGCACAGCAACATGTAGGGGAAAGGGTCACCTAAAAATCCACATAGGGCAGCTCATGTTTGGAAAGTTCATATTTGACCCAGTTCTAGGTCAGACTGTTCCCTGCTGGTGACTATGTCCCTTGTGTCCCTGGCCTCAGCTCATCTCAGGGTTGCTAGCTCTGCCAGCCTAGGCCTGGATAAAGCAATAGATGGGAAACCTGAGCAGACATTTAGACACCCAGAACTAAAGGATGGCATCTTCCCACTCTTGCCCCATAACTCACTTCCTCTTGAAGTCCTCCACCAGGTCCTGCATGCTCCTCGGCTCTGAGTTCCACTCACTTGTACATGTGGACAAACTTATCAGCCCTGAATATCTTCCCAGACCCTAAAGTTCTACCTAACCCCTCCTCCTCCAGCCTTGCCCCTCCTGAACTGATCCTAAATACTATGTCTAAATGTCAAACTCAAAGTCACAGCCTAGAAATGGAGATCCAGTCAGAGCCTTCATTACCTTGTCAATGAAGGAGGCAAACTTGTTATTGAGGGTCTTGATCTGCTCCCGCTCCTGGGCCTTTACTTGCCCAATCTGGGGGTCAATTTCCACATTAAGGGGCTGCAGGAGGCTCTGGTTGACAGTCACTTCCTGGATTCCTCCAGGGAAGCCACCAGGGCCAAAGCCACCAGGACCACCAAAGCCACCAGCTCCACCAAAGCCACCTCCTACTCCTCTGCCTCCACCAAAGCCACCTCCATAGCCACCCCCAAAGCCACCTCCATAGCCACCCCCACAGATGCTACGTCCTCCACCAAAGCCACAAGCCCGGGAGCCACCAGCTGCCACACTGATGGAAATACTCTTGTTGCCACCCAGGTTATAGAGGCTGCTGCTGCCAAAGCCGCCTGGTCCTCTCCAGAACCCATAGGCTCCTCCACCGGCTCCCCGAGAAAGGGCCACACAGCTCATCCTGCTGCTGCCGGAGACCACGGCGGAGCGGCCAGAGAAGCCCTGGCTCCCGCCACCAGATGTCTTGAGGACTTGTCTGTTCATGGTGAGAGAGCTTGATGAAGAGAAAAGTGTAAGAATCAAGGAGGAACGCTGAGAGTCGGAGGAATAGTGAAGGGAACTAAAGACCTCTGCAGAACCAATCCCTTTATATACATCTGAGGAGGCCGTTGGGCTCAAACGAAGGAGAAATAATTAATCCCAAATATTCATGGGTTGGGTTTGCCTCTGAGGCAATAGTTTATTCCAGGCTACTAAACACACCTTGAAAATAATCTGAAATGGTAAAAGTGCTAAGGTGGCAGGCTTACCTGTCAGGGGTATGGTGCCTGGCGTTGCCCCATGCTTGGGCATAGCCACCTCCTAGCTTTGTCTGACAGGACCCAGGAGGCTTGCTTATCTGCGTCAGATGCTCACTGGCCGTCTGTCTGCCTGTAGCTGCACCAGGGCCCTTTTAGAGCTGGAAGGTGGGGTGGCGAAAGTTCTGGCTGTCTGTGCGGTAGAGGCAGTGAAGCCCCCCAAAGACTCAGGGACAGTATCTCAATGAATGTCATGAATAACTAGAAGAAGGGCTGATACAATTTATTCCATAGTCAGCAGGTGGTTGTAGAGTGCCCACTATGTGCCCGCCTCTGTGCTAGGCTTGGGGACAAAGTGATGACTTCTCCCACTCCAGAAAGCCCAGAGCCATCATAAATCTGCCTCCTGGATTCTCCCTCTATCCAAAGGGAATTTTAGCACCTATGCACTTTGATGAGACATTGGCAACATTCAACTTGCCAAATGTGTGCTTGTTTTGAAAAAGCAGAGAAACGATACACTGACACATCTTGGGACTTCTCTAAGGCTTCTTTTTTTTTGCTCTCCACCTTTTGGCATTTCTCCGGTTTTAGTCCAAGTCCCAGGGAACAGGAAACTCAAACATTAATTCAACAAGAGATTCAACAAGTATTTACAGGTGGCCTAATGCGTGCCAACCCCTGTGCAAGGCAGCAGACACGCAGGAACCCTGGGGGTGGGGACCCAGTCTCCGGTGGAGGGGTTACGCTCCGGGGAGGCCTGCAGCCTCAGGTCTCCATAAACCTCCACCCCAGGGGGCCAGAGCCGGCAGAGCCAGCAGACTACTGAATGCATCTGACTCCAAAAGCATGAGAGTCAGCCTGCCTGGCGTTTTTCAGAGACCTAGGGAATGAGCTTGCTTTGTCCCAGAGGAAGACTTTCCTGCACAGCTCTGGAGCCTGCCCAGCCAGCTGCTTATCTCTCCAGGACAGGTCTTTTTTTGTTCTGTCTGCTGCATGTTAGACCCTGCCAAGGGTGCAGCCTGTGTGGCCTTGCAGGAGCCTCCTCAGAATCAGGGGAAAGGAAGAAAGGACAGGGCTTCTTCAAGTTCACTAGGCAGGGCTGGTGAGGGGCTCAAGTGCAGAGGCAGTGAAATCTTCAGTGACCTAGTTTTTGCATTTTTTCTCTCCCCCATATGTCACCTTTAAGCTATGCAACATCTCCTCCCTCTCCCAGGATAAAACTGTAAACTCTGTAGGAGCTTACAGGTTTATTGCCCAGTTAACATACCACATTCCTTGATTCTTTGGACAGTGCTTTGGCAACAATAAATAGGTGCTGGTAAAGGTTGGTCGGTTGGTTCGTTGATTGGTTGGTTGAATGACTGAGTCAATAAATCAATTAATTAAGCCCTTATGCTGGATTACAACCAGATAAAATGGAAAACTGGTTCAAATCCCATTACATAAGGTAGACTAACCTTATTGAGATCATCTTAACATGAGGAATCCAGGCTTCTCAAATTTGGGGTTCAGATTTAGGAAAATACACATGCAAAATAAAAGTCCTAGTGGAAAAATGTTGGAAGTTAACTAGACACTTGAGGTCACACAATCTGCCCCCTGCCCAGTGTTGGGATCTCCTCTCTAGCTTCTCTGACTTATATCCCTCATCTTCCACAACTGCTATCCAAGCAGTAAATGGAGTGTGAAATTAACCCAGGCCCAGGGATGGTTGCACACAGACATCTGCCTACTCTTTGCTCCCTCAGAGGAGCCAGGCTTGGGGAGTTAACCAAACCCAGGGCTGGACCAGACCTTCCCCACGACTAACGGCGACCCCAAACCCGTTGCCATCAAGTTGATTCCGACTCATAGCGAACCTATAGAGCAGAGTAAAACTGCCCTATAGGATTTCCAAGGAGGGCCTGGTGGATTCAAACTGCTAACCTTTTGGGTAGCAGCCGAACCCTTAACCACTGTGCCACCAGGGTTTCCAAGGCTGCTTAAATTCTCAGTGTGTCAGCCTCGTTAACCATCAAAGAAGGTCAATCATCTCTACCCTCTGGATCTCATAGGAACATAGCTGAATGAATGAAGTCTCTATAAGTATTTCAAGACAAGTAACACAAAAATTAGGCCTTTTTTTTTTTTTTATTTTAGTATGTAATAGGATACACCTTGGAACCAGACAGACTCAGTTTTTAAATCTCAACTTTGTCGTTGCGTATCCACGATCAAGTTATTTAACCTCTCTCTGCCTCAGTTTTCTCATGTATAACATTAGTAATGGTACCTCTCTCAGAGTCTTTGTCATGCCTATAAAGTACCCAGCACATTGTAAGTGTTCAGCCAATGTTCACAATTATTTTCAACCTTTTTTGTTTGCAAGTCTGCGAATACTGCACACAGAGAAATTCAGCTTTCATACCTGTCAGAAGAATCCATCCAATAAAATGATGGCTCTGTTTGCAAATTATCCAATGAGGCTCCACCGTGGAATGTGAGCACAGCTTGGGGTTAGAACTACAGAATGATAGCAACTCCACAACTCAGGGCGAGGGGGAGCTGGCCTCAGCTTCCAGCCCAATCAAGAGAAATCAGTGAACAAACACCAGGGGTGTGTGCTGAGCATTGACTCTGTTGGTCGCTGTGTAGTGCCACTTAGTTATTACATATACTTATATATAATATACACAATATAATATAATATGCTATGATATAATTAAATAGTATTTAGTTGTTATAAGTGTTGTAAGAGTGTGAAGGATCACAAAAGCAATGGTAAGCTGGAATCATATAGAAAAGCTTCATGAGGAAACATGAGCTAAATCTTTTAGGGAGAGTAGGATGTAGACAGGCAGAAAGAAAGGCATTCTAGCCCAGATGGCCATGACCCAAGGCTCAACATTGAAAATAAGTATGGTTGGATTAGGGAGTAGAGATCATTGTAGACTCTTGTCATTTGTGGCTACCCAACATCTTTGAACACCTTTCCTGCATTTGATAATATGCCACATCATGATCCCCACCCTCCTTGGATAAAATCCAGAAAACATATTCCCAAATTCCTTTGCAGCTAGAGTCTAGGGCTGTGACCTAGAGACTTCCAATGAGATGGACCCCCATGAGACCTGGATTCTGAAGTAGAAAATTTAGGGGGCTGACCATAGACAGAGGAATTAATCTTTCTGGAGAGCGCAATGCTGGAGACGTCTGGTTCTTATGGGCCGCGTTGGAGCTCTGCTATCCAGCTCCAAGCATCGTGAGCACAAGCAGCGGTGACTATGGTATTTTCACGAGAGCAGCCCCAGGTGTGTCTGGGCATGGTTCCAGGCTGCAGAGCTCCTACTGCATGAGCAACAGTGTCCCTTAGTAAACTATTTTCAGTTTACATTAGGCAGAATAGATTCTGAGATTTGCAGGTACGAGCCCTGACCAGTACAGTGATGAGATACGCCTGGCTGGAGCAGAGAGGGATTGTGGAAGAATCTTCTGGGAAAGTGAGTAAGGATAGGATGGGGGGCCTACTTATTGGGCCACACAGAAATGAGGCTGCTGCCTGGCCCCTTGTGGGGCCTGACGTCCAGAGCAATGGGTCCCTAGGAATTCTTGAGCCCATAGTGAATCAGGGTACCGTACTGCCTCCACCAAGGGGGATAGCAGCCATTGCCAGAAAGAATGGATTCTGAGCTATTTTATCATTCCTTTGGAGGGAATTAACCTGGGGGAGAAGGTTTGAGAAGCAAAGTCACAACCACCATTATCATCAGCTAGTCCTAGGCCTGGGCCTCCCCAGCAGACAATGGGAGGAGTAGAAAGAAGGGCATAACCTATACTTATTCTGGGGTCAGGTAACAGAGAAGACATGACCTGGTCCATGAGTGAACAGGCAACAAAGCAGGAACTGGGGAGTACATTAGTAAGACTAGAATGTCAATTCTTATTGGAGGGTCATGAGCAGTGGAAGTGATGGAAGGCAAGGAGACGACAGTCAGTGAGTTGAAATTCTTGATGGTCTGTCCCATCCGTCTGAACTTGGGGAACCCAATAAACATTTTGAGAAAACAGGGTTGGCTTAGATTTAACCCCAACACCTGGATTATTTGAAGCTTATTTCTTAAGTATCCTAAGTACTTTCTTCCTGGAGGAAGAATGAGTCACTGAATCGCAGAGTCTCATAGGATGCTGCAGCCAGGAGGTTATCCCGTCCACTCCTCTACCTCAAGGCAGACACCTACCTGGCCTCTCCTACTCTTCAGGATCTCCCGGGGAAAGCAATTCATCAAATCTTTTGACTTGCCCAGACCAGCAAGGCACCACTGTGACCTGACAAAGATCTTCTTGGATCTAGCTGTCATGCCTTCTGCACCAGGGGAAGCCTGACTGCTCTTCTTAAAAAAAAAAAAAAGTTGCTGTTGAGTCTATTTTGACTCATGGTGACCTTGTGTGTGTCAGAGTAGAACTGCTCCATAGGATGTTCAAACTGTGACCTTTCAGAAGCATATCACCAGGACTTTCTTCCAAGGCACCTCTGGGTGAGTTTGAACCACCATCCTTTTGCTTAGGAAGCCAGCACTTAACCATTTTCACCGCTCGGGGATTCCTGACTCTTTTTCTTAGGATCAGCGAATTTGAGGTTGGCAGAAGCCTGGCTCACCTGTCCACCATGCCCAAGGTGCCCACACCTCTCTGAGTCTAAATGCCCCTTTTAACATCAAAAATTGTGTTGATCATCACACATGTCACATACATTATGCTTTTAGTGTCCTTTGGGAATATTTGTTTTTACTTATGAATTCTGCAATACTTTCAAATAAAATTACATTTTGTGAT